GAATATTGTCTGATTTTTCTAATAGTTGTAGTTCTCTTTAATCTCTTGCCTGATAATTCCATTTGTGTCATATCTGTGTCTGGTTCTGATGGTGCTTTGTCTATTCAGACTATGTTTAGTTCTGCCTCTTGGCCTGTCAGAGATTTAAAATTCCTCTGGTATCCTTTGCTTTCATTTCCCTTCTTTATGTTTGTGACACTTTAAGTATCACTCTTCAGAGGGAATCTGTGTCATACAACTCTTTCGGCTGTAATCCGTGGTTAATACATTGGTACCTAATGTTTTCCAGTAAACCTCAGTGCTCGAGAAAGACCAGAAAGGACTAGTTTGGATAGTTTGGATAGGCAGCGAGAGTTTATTGAGAAAAGGTTTGTGCACCTCTCAGGCAAAGGCTAGCACACTGGTAAAGCAGGTGAGTCTGCAAGAAAGAAAGAGGAGCTGGGGGCTTATATAGCTTGTGAAACTGATGTGGCTCTATTTTCCCGCCATGCCCTTTTTTGGCCAGGCGGGTCTGCTCGGGTGATACTGTATCTTGGATACTTAGTTGGTCCGATACCAGGCCAGCAGGGATGTCCGGAGCATTACAATGTTGCATACCCGGATACTTAATTGGTCTGGATGCCTGGCCCACCCGGAAATCCAGAACACCTCCTAGGTAGTGTAGTAGGGGGCAATGGTATTCTGTATAGAGGATTCTTAAAAGTCAGTATGTTAGTGAGTCTGAGTCTCAGGGCTGTGATATTCACAATGTTTCTTCTTGTACAGCTTTGTAACTGGTGGCAACCGGGACAGTGTAACCATAGACTGTTCCAGGTGGTGCCCCCTGGAGGGGGTTCCTGGAGAAGGTCTATAGCCCCAAGGAAAATGCTAAAAAGTGGAGTAGGCAATGGAGGAGGAATATATGTGACCGCAAGGGGGCTCTAGAGCAGTCTTTGTGGGGCAGTCTTTGTAATTTAGCATTTGGGGTTAGCGGTTTTCTGCCCCCACTGCGCCCATCTTTTCAAAAGCTGTTGCAACCTGGCAAAAAAAAAAAAAAAAAAAAAAAAAAAAAAAAAAGATGAAGATGCGTACTGTGCTGTGGCTGGCAGAGAAGACTGGAGACCGGGCGCCAGGCGCCTTGCTGTGGAGACTGATGTGGCCACTTGTCTGGTCATTCACAGCCGCTATTGTTTTGAATGACACTTGTCTGGTGCTGTGCTGGGGCGTCCCAACAGCTCATGGAACATCTCCTGTTGTGTTTTCTGCTGTCTTTAGGAGCCGGAACCGGGCCTAGAGTCTGGCCGCTCTGTGTCCACAGTGGCGGGAGGACGCCATTTTAACAGTTTTTGAACGGGGCTGGAAAACATTGGACGGGGCTTGGGTAAAGTAAAGGCCATTTTTGGCTTCGGTAACTGTTTAATTTTTTCCTGGTTTGTTAAATAATTCCCTTTGTTGTTGTTCCAGCCTGAGTAGTCTTGCAATTGTGAGTGCAGGTGAAGAACTCAGGCAGTGACCAGTAAACCATTTGGCCAGTTGACTGTTTAGCGCCCCTCACTGCCGCTGTGTAAAAAATGACGATGGGGGTAGGGTGACTGGAACAAGAGAAGCATCTTCAGTAGTTCTCTTATAAGATTCTGGTAATCTTCCTGCTTGGAGAAAAGGTCTTTATTTTTGGACTTATTTCCTATTTCACAGGGCTCATCTTCCCCTCTTCTAGTCAGAGCCTAAGGAAATTTATCTTAGATCTTCCTTAGCCTTGAGAATTGGTGGGATTTCTGTGAGTAAATTCCATGGATTGTGGGGAAATCCTAACACGGAAGCCTCCGAAGTTTCTCACTCCCTTTACTCAGCCTCTAACAAGTCATCAAAATGATGATGTAGACGTTCTTACCACTTGATGACTTCAGTATTTTCTGTTCTTTTTAGAAAGATGCAGATTTTACTTGGGTCTTTTAATTTGCTTGTCCCTCCGGATTCCACAGGGAAAATTTGTTCTGAGATCTATTACTCTGATGGAACTAAGAAAACGTAGTTTCAATTTGTCAAACTTTTTTTCTTGTTTTAAATACTGGAGAAACAACTTCTACATTCTTTATAGGTAAGAGCAGAAACCAGAAGACAGCTGTGATTCCTTTTTCATCACGAGCAATATGGTGTCTGAGGTCTCTGTTGGAAAATTAAACTATTATAAACTAGAATCATCTGAAGCCTTGTTTTTACATGTGTCTGGTATTGACTGGAAGGCCAGAATATCTTCATGACATGGACATCAAGTGAGCCCTGAAAGTTGCCCAGGGTTCCATATTGCACTCTCCTGACCCATGTATTCTCCCACTTCACCCACACTGTCAACACATACTTCCTGAACCTCCTTCTTGATTGCTAATTCACTGAGAGAAATTTATTCCCCTCCCCCACGCTGAATGAATAGTAAGGGGTAGACTTGCTGGCAGATCCTGAATGTGTATTTACCCCCATAAATGACTCAAGCTGTCAGCCTGAACTGCCATCTTTGCTGCACATGAGTTCCACATCCACATCCCCGGAGGCACCTGGAATCACCTGCTTCATTTTAACCACTGCTGTAGGCTGCAGGGGTAGCTCCGGGTGGTTTTAATCAGTATTCTCCTAATCACTCATGGTGTTCACCATCTGTTTACACTCTGATTTGCCACATGAAAAGGTCTGTCCCAGAATTTTCTCATTTTTTTTTTACATTGGGCTCGTTTTCCTATTAATGTGAAATTTTGAAATGCATTTATATATTCTGGATACAATTCTCTGTTAGAAATCTGAATTGCAGATATTTTCTCCCAGTCTGTGGCTGGTTCTTATCTATGCTTAACACTATCTTTTGCAGAGCGAAAGTTTAAATTTGATGAAGCCAAGGTTGTCATGGTGTTTGGCATTGTCTAACCCTGGGTCACTCAGAAAAGTTAAACAACCAGTTAAGCTTTCCAAACATTTTTACCACCAGTTTTAGTCTTTGCAAGCATGTCTGCCATGCCCAAAATCCAAAGGTTGCCTCCTTAACCTCTTACAAGTGTTTCCTCATCTATCATTTCTTTGATGAAGCCAGCTATCATCTTCTATTTAAACCTCTACCCCACCAATTCTACCTTTTGGGTTTTTTCACTACCCCATCCTTTTATCATTTTCCCATAGAATCTATTACTTTCTAACATACCATGCAATGTACTTGCACAATGGATTTTGTATACCTGTCTTCCCCTTGCTAAATTGTACATTTCCCCAGGACAGGAATCCTTGTCTGCTTTGATCACTAAGTGACCTCAAGTGTCACTCCTCAAGTGAATAATTCCTCACCTCCATATTAGGAAGGGACAATTTTTCTTTATCAGATAAAGAAACTGCAGCTTTGGGAATGTAAGTACTTTATTAAAAGGCATATACTAATTGGGGCCCTCCTTGATGGAACAACAGGTTGAAGTGCAGCACTGCAAAGCTGGCTGTAGTCCATTCAGCACCAGTTTGATTCCTGGCTGATCTGGCCCGGAAGGTGACCCACGTGGCACAGCAGACCTCTCCTGCTCTTCTCAGCAGTCTACCTCTTCAATCTGCCTGTTCTGTCACGCTGTCTCTGGTGAGTCCTTTCACCATCCCTGCACCTCTGGCCAGTATCCCAGTGCTATATGCATAACTAAATCTTTTTTTTTTTTTGCATAAATAAATCTTAAAATAATAATAATAAGGCATACTACTTGTACTGGCAGGACGAGGGCCCTAACCCAGGCCTCTCTTCTAGAGCTTACATTCATAGTTCCATTCCATGGGGTATTTACCCATGATGGGCAGAGGTTGGGAGATGAAGATGAAAGATGGAAGTTGAGGGCCCTCCCTGGTGGTGCAGTGGGTTAAAGCACAGCACTAAAGAAGCTTAAGCCACTTCAGCATGAATTTGATCCCTGCCTGCCCTGGAGGTGATCCACATGGTGCGGCAGACCTCTCCTGACCCGCCCGCTGCTCCCCTCAGCAGTGTTCTTCATCAGTCGGCCTGTTCTGCTTCCCACTGTTTCCGTGAATCCTCTCACCGTCCCTGTACCTCTGGCCTGTACTCCAGCTCTGTATGCATAAATAAATACATCTTTAAAAAAAAGAAAAAAGAAAAAGATGGGAGTTAAGAATGAATAGAAATAAATCTGTTTGTCAAGCTAAACAATCTGAACTGCATTCCAAGACATAAGCTCTGAAGTGAATGGTGACATAATTAAATCTGCATTTCAGAAAGATAACTCAAAAAGTTTCTAAGTGAAGGAGTTGAAGCTAACAAATTGCCAGTGGACAGAACGTATTTAATGGAGCTTAACCCAATTATAAGATTTCCAAACCTAAAAAATTACTTGTTTCCTATTAATTCATTATGATGTTTTCATTAACCTCAATCCACATTTAGAAAAAAAAAATCTGACACCACATAGGTATGTGATTATATTTTATTCATATATATTAAATATTAACAAACTGAACAAATGAACTGTTTTCCATTTGGGGCAGTGACAGTTGTCAGTGATGTTCCAAAGCACCAGGTCTGAGTTGAGAAGGGAAGTTTTTATCAGGGGACAAATTACATATCACCTGACACAATTAAGTGCTGACATACTGTTAAAGGAGGACTCAAAATGAGAGATGTTCTCAAATAGACAATGGTGGAATGGCATCATTTCATTTGTAAGTGTTTCTTTATACCATCAAGTAAAATAAATATACAACCCCAAGGCCTTCCTTAGTTCAACAACCTAGTTAACATCTGAAAGAAACCCTTGTAATCATATACTTACACCTAATTAATCAGAAAGAAAGGGGTTAAGTAGCAATAAGATATAAGAATTATAAATAACATATATATTAATAGTCTTTTTTAAGACTTTAGTTACATACAAGTTGGTATTATAAATACTTTGACAAGTCTAAAATATATTAACCATATAAATAATGTAAAATATTAAATATTAATAAATAGATTTGGAGTTATAATTCAAATATTGCAGGCAGGATGACCATTATTTTGGTGTTCTCCGGCCTCGAATCTGAATCTGACTCCTTTTCCGCTTCCTTAGGTTAGAACTTGGTGACAGGTCACTTATCACCTTGAAGAGCTCACTTATTGCTTTGCGCTGAACGTTCATATCATTGACCTATTGAGAAAGAAAACAGCAAAATTAATATAAGCACATCAGTCATGAGAACATTCTACTGTTAATGCCATGGTCCTGGAAAGTAGAAGTTCTCCTTTTAAAAAATTATTTGCAGTAGCATTACCCTCATATACAGTGGTGATTTCTTCAATCATTAAAGCTAAAATTCTAATTAGGGCCCTCCCTGGTGGTGCAGCAGATTAAAGCACAGCACTAAGAAGCTAAAGCCACTTCTGCATGAGTTCGATTCCTGCCTGCCCCGGAGGTGACCACATGGTGTGGCAGACCTCTCCTAACCCACCCGCTGCTCCCCTCAGCAGTGTACTTCATAGATCTGCCTGTTCTGCTCCCCACTCTGTCTCTGGTGAATCTTCTCACCCTCCACATCTCTGGCCTGTACCCCAGCTCTGTATGAATAAATAAATAAATCTAAAAAAAAAATTTCTAATTAAATTGCTAGCTGACCTGTAATACGGTAAAGCACATTCTGTATCCTTAAATTTACTATTACAGAATTCTCAAAATTATGGAGTGGAAAGATTGCTAAAGTGACAAAAGATGTAAGTTTGAGTCCTGCAGGAGCAATAACTCTACTTTGAACCTTTTCTCTGCACCACTCTCTTTTCATCTAAACAATTAAGTGATCTCTAAGCTTGCAATCAATTCTGTGACCTTACACTTTAGTTTGCTTTAACTATCAAATGAATCACTACAGGCCCATGGTTCTCCCCTTTGGAGGATAACCTGGAGACCCAATGGAGCAATCGGACACCCAGGTGCCTGACCTTAAGAATTCCTGGCTGTTGTGCAGTCACTGAGTTCCCTAGGTGATCCTGACCTTCACCACAAGCCAACGACCACCAAGAGCAGCTTCATAAACAACCAAGCCCAAGAGATATAAATGCTCTAACTTTTCATTTTGCCTAAACCATGTCATTCTGACCATTTCCACAATGGAATTAAAAATAAGCACTTATCATATATGGCATAACATTGAAGATTAGGAATTACATTAAACTTTTCCTCTACCCTCCCTCTCACACCAACAAATTGAACTATTTCTTCACTCTGACCAATAGAACATTTTAGGTGAATGGGTAAATAAAATACCATTTTGCTTTCTTCCGGGCTTTACCACTGTTTCTTTCTAATTCTATGGCCACTTCGTGAGATTTCTGAAAATGTCAAGGGGTATTACTGGCTACCATGGCTTAAAATGCTTTAAATATGTTAGCAATTGAGCAAAAAAAAAATGACAACGCTGAAAGCTTGCACAAGCCTGCGCATTACAAAGCAGAAGGCTTGGAGTTTCCAGAAGGATGGAGAAGCATTTTTTTTTTCAAGGCCCAGTTGTAGCAGAGTAAAACAGTTTCTACCAGCTGTACATTTGCAAGCAAAATAAGTTTCACTTTCCCATGCTTGAAGCATCACTAAGAAACTAAGAGAATTATCCAGGATTTCTAAACAGAGGCAGCACTGGGTTAGGAATGAATGCTATTCCAGTTCCTAGCATGTGGACAAAAGAGATCTGTGGAACACTAGAAACCACTAGCAAGACAGTAGTGGAGTAGTGGTATTATAATTTTTCCAAGCCACTTTGTATCACCTCAGATTTTGAAAAGTGAGCACTTGTTTCAGTTCCTGGGGCCCTCTCTGAGCGGGATGAGCAGCAGACCCAGGTCTGGGGAGAGCTGAACACAAATCCTAAGAGCGCAAGTCAGAACAGAACCCCTCCTCTGTGGCTCAAGCCTATTTAAATTAAAACCAAACCAAAAAAGGAATCTAGAGTCTTTGCCTAAGGTATACAATTTTGAAAAATGTGATCTGCCTTTCTGCTTCAACATTATCTTCAATTTCTGGAAGTCATACTGTAAGATCTTAAAAGAATTTCATGAGATAAAGCTGAGGAATCTGAGGACTTCTCCAGCCAAGACACTCAAGTGTCCAAAGTTGATAGAACAATTCTCTGGTAAAGTATACACTCTACCTATTTTCTTTTCTAAGAAAGAAACACAAAAACACTGACTGTATGTGGGCTGTACAATATGAGAGAGTGATGCCCTCTGTGAATCCTCAAATGGCACAGCCTTTTCTATCACCTTATTTTCATTTTCTACACATCGCATTGTGGCGTTTTAGAATACCTGAAGCTACAGAAGTGATAGCGAATTCAAGAGGCTTCTTTTTAAATGAGGAAACTGAGCCTTGGTGACTGAGCTGGGAGCACAAACCTCCCCACCTCCCACCGCTCTTTCCATTAGAGAGATGGCCTCCATCCAAAGCAAGAGAATTTCCATCACACAAATAAGGGTAATGAGAGAAACGCTTCTCAGTGAGTTCCCTCGATTGCGTCACTACTTCCTCCTCAGCGGAGCCAATAGTGATAACACCCGTGTTTTCCCAAGTCACAATTTGAGTGATTCCCATATGAACAATGAAAAGTTGCCTTATGTATGAACAGAATTAGTAGGAAGGAGTTTGGGCATGGCTTCATTTCATAGCTTTGATAAGTAATTTCTACTGTCTGGGAATTAAGTGCTTTGGAGGACCATCTGCAATGAAAACACCTCACCTAGAATTTTAGAAAACCTCACCTGAATTTTAATCAGCGTTTTGAAGTCTTCCTTTTTGCTGTCGCTGCTATTGAAGAACTTAATAGCCATGTCTTCCTTGATGTTGTCAATGCTTCTCTGGATGATCTGGTTGTCTTTATAGTTGTCAAAGAGTTTGAAGTAGAAGGACATGATTTGGCTCTGAATTATTTTTTTGTCACTCTCCTTGGGGACAAAGAGAATAAGATGTTGATGTGAATTTATCCACCAGAAAATAAGCAACAGGAAAATCAGTCAAATGGAGATACTCAATTTACCTCTTTCCAATTCTTCAAAATCTCTAAGAAAAGAGGCTTTCCATCTGCTACATCTGAACTACTTGCATTCTGAAGAAAAAAAAAGATTTGATTTGTCAATTGTCTCAAAACTGTCCTAAATATATATTTCCAGTTTTATCAATTCAGCTGCTGAAAATAATTACTTATTTTCTTCTGGTTAGTTCGAACCGTATTTCCAAAAGCTTTGGGCATAGTCAAGGACCATATTATTTCAGTTTTCTTATTTTTCTAGTCTAACCTCTAAATTGTATCACAAATGAACCCATCAAGACTTATGCTACTTCGATTGTTGCAACTATAGTAAGGAAAAGAAAGTGTTTTCAAGTCTGATAAACAAATCAGCAAAACCATTCCACTATAAAATACTGCCCCCTTATGGCCTAGGTCTTTATAGCATCTACCTGTGCCACCCTGCGTATAGGTTATCACCTTTAAAAGATGGTTCCACGTGAACCGTGGGTATGCGATTTGACCTTGTGAAAATACAATAGTTTGCCAATGTGACTATATAATAACTATAGTTATCAAAAATTTTGAATAAATAATGAAATATTTAAAATGTAAAACTTTTAATTAAGCATATATAAAATTTTAAAATACATTGATAAAGCAAAAAAGAATTTTTTAAAATGAAACCGGATTATAATTCCTACAAAATCTAAGTAAATGATTGAGGTCCAGAGAAATTCATTGATAATATAGATGGGGCAGCAGAATTTTAATAACACGTTTTGAAAGAAAAAAAATCTCTAAACAAATTTCTAAACCAAATCTTTAAGGACCTCACCTTTTAAATTGACCAGTTATTTCAGATTACAATTTTAATGTTAACCTTCTAATCTCACCATCATAAATCTGAAAAATCAATAACTAATATCAAGTCACTTTTCCAGTATGCATGCTACTTGATATCATAATTGAATGGATTCTCACCACAAAAATTGATATCACAATTGAATGGATTCTCACCACTACCTTATACCCACACCATGTGCGGGTTGGAATATGCTTTAATCCCCTCTAAAGTCCAAATCAGACTGAGTAGGTACCTAAATGATAACTAGATTGTTTAGTAAAAAACTCATCCAGATGATAAAACAGTCAAAACAACATAAAGCCTTCTCAAGATGACTGTGGACTAACCGTGACAGCCTATTACAGATAAAACTACAAGTGAGCCCTCTGTCACTTCATCCGCAAGGAAATATTATTAAAAGATCATACTTACAAAATACTCCTTTAGGTTTTCTATTGCTTTACCCAATTCAGTATCACAGTAACAGGTAGAAGAACCCAAAATCACACAAAGCTGAAAAGCTAAGAAACAGCTTGTATAATTCATTCTTCAGAGAAAGTAGGGTCGAAGTAGTTGTGATCGGTAGCTGCTGTATTAACTTGATCAGGTCCAATGGACTTAGCTGATCTTTCTTTTCTAATAGCTGATCTACAGATGATCAGAAAAATGTACAGCATCTCCTTTTGCTGTCAGTATTTATACTAGTCTCGTTGGGATTACGTATTTTCACAAGTTTTTTAAGATGAGATGGTGTCAGATAGGCAGAGAGGGTAGTTAGTTAGTATTAATAAGTATGGTTTTGTGGCATTTTGGTGTTGTAGTTAGAGTTTCCTTTCAACCCTTGTGCCTTTTGACAAAAAGACAGAAACATTATGCCCTCCTGTGCCATTCTTGTGGCATCCTTTGAAAGCACTTTTACTTCACACCATGCAGGAATTGGAAACTTATTTTGCACCTTCTTCTCCCTTTGCGCTCTTAAAATGTTGATGCCTCATCCACAGAGGACATTGATCATTTGTTTGTGGTTGGGATCAAGTAAAAAAGGAAATTCTAGGGACTCTCAACCCTTTACATAGGGGGTGCTTTTAAAAAAATTTCTTGCAAATGACTAGAAAGCAAAGAAAGAATGTGGTTTAAAGACCACTGTGGTGAGGAAGTCCTTCACCAGAGTAACTTTATAGAATGTCTATCACAACTTTAAAATTGCTCTGAAAGAACACTGCCATTAGAAATACAATAATATATTTAAATAAATTATATATAAATATAATGAAAACTAAATATTTGCATTTCCTTGTAGCCTTGTTAATAAAATTAAGAAGAAATGGGTTCAACAGGTTTTATCTAATCCAATATAGCCAAGACATCACTTCAATATTTATCAATATACAAAATTATTAATATATTTCATATTCTCCTTACTATGCTAAATCCTAGAAATCAAGATTTTAGAATTGCATTTTATAACCATCTCACATCTCAATTTAGACTATTTCAAATGCTCAACAGCAACATGCTGCTAGAAGCTACCATAGAGAATAGTATAATTCCAGGTGATCGATTGTTTCAAATCATCATTAATAAAGGAGAACCCTCCTTTTTTAATTTTTGTTTCATTTTTTTCCAAATGCAAAAAAAAAAAAAATCCTCCCAATCACCAGGATTCAGTCCTGTCTTCTGGTTATTGCTTTATAAAGGACAACACTTCAGGATGATGCAAAAGACCTTTCTCCTTGGTTCCAGCTCATCTTGCATTTCCACAAACAGTGTACACTGGTGCATGGTGTTTATGGACAGCTGAATCTATGCTGCATTATTGTCTAATTATGTGATTTTGAGGCAGCTTCTTAATTTTTCTATGACTCAGGTTTCTTACCTTTAACATAGACCTAATAATCATATCTCCTTCTAGACTTCAGTTGAAAATTAAATCAACTGATATATATAATCTGCTAAGAAATTTGCCTAGTGTGTAATAAGTACTCAATAAAAGTCACCTATTGCTACTTGGGCACATTATTTAGACCTTAATAGTCATTCTAAAAAAGCATATCCTGCACCATTCATTGTTCATGCTGCTCTTCTGGTCTTGAACTCCCTTTCCTCTCAGCTGTGGCCCTCAGAATGGTGCCCATCCATCCATGGCCAGCCTAACAACCATTATCTCCACGAGTTCACCCCAAATTACCTTTAAAATCAATCTCATATCCTCTACACAGGCCTACACTTGGTTCATGCTTTTTCTAGAGTCCTGATCATTCAATGTCATACTGGAAATGTCTACTGATATGTCTTCTATGTTGGACTGAATTCCTGAAAATCGGAAATTGTTTCATTGCTTCTATAACACCCTTGTCTTCCTTAAGTTCATTTGACATGGAAATTTGCCCATAGACAACCCTGAGTAAAAGTGAATCTGGAGCCTTAATAAATTAAGGGTCTATTGTGAATTATTTTCCCTCAATTTGAATCCCAGGACTACCAGTCCTAACCCATAATTTTTAATTAAATAGGATATAAGATTCATGTTGGAAAGAGGATGCTTTATCTCTTTCACCAACTCCTATTTATTTACTGGGACAAGCCTATGTATTATTTTATGTGAAAAAGATCAAAAAATATTTACTAGGCTATCTTCCCACAAAATAAACAAGATCAAAGCATATCTGCAGGACAAAAATCTCAAGTTAAGTGAATAAAAGTGTTCCTTCCTACAAGTCCTCCTTCTCTCGCTTATAGCTCTTAAGGAAAAATGCAGCCCAAATTATATACTTTCAGGTAACACAATGACAAGAAACCCTTAATAAAAGTGTTGGTACAATTGCAGGTGCTCAACACTATCCAGGGAACCAAAGTTCAATCTCTAAGCTATTTCAAACTTTCTGGAAAGGAATAAAAATCTGTTCTGTCATTTTTTGGTTTATTCACTAGACTATGATGCTGGGGTAAGTTAGTAAAGAGAGTGAAGTACAGTAGGAACCATAACAAGAAACGATATACTATTTAGATGTCTTTAAGTTGATAATACCCATTCATATTTTTTAAAAATGAATGAGGCATATGGTTCCAGTATGACCAAATGTTTAGAATTAGTAGTTACATGGCTCAAATCTAAGCTCTGATAACTCTTGATCTCATGATAAAACAGAATAATGAAATAACAGAGGTTATCATCTAGTGCCTCATATTTTTTTTTATTTGTAACTCTAGGCCCAGAGAAACGATGTACTATGCTAAAATTCATTCGACTAGACAGTACAGAGATGTGACTAGAACCAAGATCCTAAAATTCATTCGACTAGACAGTACAGAGATGTGACTAGAACCAAGATCCTCCATAAAACACAAATTTATTGAAAAACAATTGACATATAACAGTATTCATTTTAGATGCACAATTTAAAACCAAGGTATTTTCTTTAATCTGCCTGTTCCCTAATTGATCAATACATATTGAGATTATTGCATATGACTACAATTTTGTTAAAAATGTGAATTCAAATAAATACATTCTATCAGGCTTTGGGTTTCTGTGAGCATATTTTCCTCCAGGATTTGTGGCATAATAGTTACTCTTCAATCCCTTTAAAAAACAGACTACAAATAAAGGTCCAAAATTCTTGGTTAGACAGCAACCTGTGAGTCTAACCCACACTTACAGAGCTCACATTTGGAGTAATACTCTCTTATTACATTCTTGAAATTCCTAATAACTCCTTAACAAAAGCCTCTCATTATCATTTTGTGGATTTTTGACCCGTCCTGTATCCTAGCTAGAAATGAAAAAAACCTGCTATTATGGTTTTATCTTTCCGAGGATGATTCTTTGGTTTAGCATGCTGCTGCTACAATAGCATATCCTTTTATGATCTTTTCCTGTCTAATCGACTTTACCAAAGAAGTAATTTCTCTCTCCTTTCTGCCTGTAAAACACCTATGTTGCACATGCAAAGTAGAGGTTTCACACTTTGTTGGTCCAGCCAGCACTGAGAATGCAGAATAACTTACCACTAACACACCCTTTAAAAGTTTTGCAAAGCCACCAGGAGCCCAAGTGTGACCATATTACTAAAACAAAGGGACTGAAAACTTTCTTCTTTCTTTGCAGCTAGGTTTTCTTTCTGAAAACTGGCTATGGTTATGCATTAAGCGTCAGCAAGATTTTCGATGGTATCTCACGCTCTCCTCAGACTTGAGTGAGTAGGTAGGTAAGACAAAACTTACATCTTGGTTGCCCTTTTCCTCTCTGCTCAGCAGACATATCCCTAGTACTCTCAATGAATTTTCATGTCCATACTCTGGGGTAGATTTCTTCCACTGAGGATGAGTCAATCTTGGACCCCCCAAGATTGACTTAGCGTGGATTACCCCACGCTAAGGAAACATCCTGACATCATGCAAACTGAGCCTTCGGAAGAAGATGACATACAGAATGGACGTCTACACGGAGTCAGATTTTCCCCGCATTTTGACTCATAAAATCCCGTATGTTCAAGGAGAGTTTTCTGAATTCACCCTTTTTTTGTTCATGTTAGCTGGGCAATTTTGAGAAGTGGCACAAAGAATATACAAGAAACTATACTTAAGTAGTATCGCCACCATTTTAAATATTCTCAATTTTATGTCAGATGGGATTGTGCATTGATAATCTAGAGATTCATGATCATGTTTTGAAGGCCAAATTCTTATTCCACAGGAATTTTTAGCACCTACTAAGTGGCTAGTGTTATGATTGACACAGTTAACAAAGAAAAGTGGGACAGTTCTATTATGAAGATATTTGTTTGCATCCCAGTTTCAATTAATTAGTAAGTCCTTATACGACGTCCTCCATATTTCTATTGCTTAATACAGTTACAAAGTTTTCAACAGTGATACGATCTGGCAGAAACTATTGGTAGCTAGAGTTTTTTTGTTGTTGTTGTTTTAATTGCCTGTTAATATCTTTGTCCTTTTTCTCCATGTGCAACCATCTCAGATGTTTCATATAGTTGAAGAGGACTGATTATTGGGGTTAAAAAAAAATCTGGGTCCTCCCTGGTGGTGCAGCAGGTGAAACAGTGACACTATGAAACTATCTACAGCCCACTGCAGCATGAGTTCTATCCCCTGCCACTGCAGCATGAGTTCTATCTCCTGACTCACCTGCTGCTCCCCTCAGCAGTGCATTTCAGTTAGTCCACCTGGGTTCTTCTGTTCCCCACTCTGCCTCTGGTGAATCCTTTTATCCCCTGCACATCTGGCCTGTACACCAGTTCTTAAATGCATAAAGAAATAAAATCTTTAAGGAAAAAACCCCATGAATCTAACAAGTGAGTTGCATTTCCTCCTCCTATGCTCATAGCAGCCCACAGAAACTAACAGAAGTGACATTCTTCACTACTACATTTATATGCCACTTCTAAATCCTTTCAACGCTGAAATTTAGATAGGTTCTGCCAATTTACTAATGGATTTTAATAGAGTGGCCTTCTTGGGGTCACAGTTTACTTGGGGTCACAGTTGCTAGGTTTCTTACCCAGATATGCTAAGATGAGTTTTTTCAT